ACACACCGGGAACTGGAAAGGGAAAGTGTGTCCCTATTAGTTCTGCTGAACTTCTGAGTGGCTTTCAGTACCATCAAGAATGGTATCCTTCTGGGGAGCCTTTCTGGGAGGGGCTAAAACCTCTGTTTCACAGTGGTTCTAATCCTTCCTTGATGGCTGAACTCAGAAGGTGGTATTCCGGAATCCTGTTTGACACCCTGGCTAGTGTTCTGTGGCGTTCCTCAGGGCTCAGTCCCATCATGTTATTTAAAATCTACATGAAACTGCTGGGAATGGTTATCTGTGGTTTTGGGATTCAGTGCCATCACTGTGGTGATGACACCCAACTCTATCTGTCCTTCCCATATGATTCCAAGGAAGCTGTTCTGCACTTAGACCAGAGTCTGTTGGCAGTGATGGACTGGATGAGGCTGACAAACTGAAACTTAATCCAGACAAGACAGAGCTGCTCTTGGTCAGTCACAAGACAAATCAGGAGAAAAGGTCAAGTCCGCAGCTCAGGTGTGGTCCTAGATTCAATGCAAAGCTTGGATGTACAGGTTTCAGCGGTGGCCAGGAGTGCATTTGGACAATTAATGCTGGCGTGCCCCTTGCACTTGTTCTTTGAGGTGTCTGATTTGGCCATGGTGATATATGCCTTCATTACATTCTGTTTGGACTACTGCAACATGCTCTCTGTGGGGCTGCCTTTAAAGACTGTTCAGAAATTTCAGCTGGTTCAAAATGCAGCAGCCAGACTGCTGACTGGCACTTGTTAAAAGGAGCATGTAACCCCCTTATTACAACTGCATCATTGGCTGCCAGTTTCTTTCCAGGCACAAATCAAAGAGATTGTTATTACCTATAAAGCCCTATGCTGCCTGGGTCCAGATTATCCAGAGGATTGTATCACCCCACATGAGCCTTCTCTGTTTTTAAGATCTTCTGGGGAGGCCCATTTTCTCAGTTCTAACACCTTCCCAAGTTCGCCTGGCAAGGACACAAGAGAGGGCTTTCTCAGTGGTTCCTCCCAGGCTTTGGAATGCATTGCCCATGAAGGTCATGCAAAGACCTTCCTCTTCAGGCAGACCTTTACACAGCATGTTATCTCAGGAATGCTGGGTTTTAACTTAGAGGTTTAAAAAGTTTTAAAATTGTTGTTATACCTAATTGTTTTAATTTTAATGCATGTCTAATTGGTTTTTAAATGTGATATTTATATAGTATTTTAAAATTGCTTATTTTACCTGTTGTGAGCTGCTTTCGTTCCCCTAGACAAACAAACAAACAAATTCATATTGTGATATCAGCTGTCTCCCAATGGTAGTGCTTTTGTGGGGACACTATCACAGTACGTTATCTCAGGAATGCTGGGTTTTAACTTAGAGGTTTTAAAAGTTTTAAAATTGTTGTTATACCTAATTGTTTTAATTTTAATGCATGTCTAATTGGTTTTTAAATGTGATATTTATATAGTATTTTAAAATTGCTTATTTTACCTGTTGTGAGCTGCTTTCGTTCCCCTAAACAAACAAACAAACAAACAAATTCATATTGGACTATCAGCTGTCTCCCAATGGTAGTGCTTGTGTGGGGACACTATTGGCCAGGTGCCAGAATGAGAAGATAGTGATCACCCACTGTTTTGATCCCAGTGGGGCCCAGTTACTGGATGGAGAATGTTTACAGCCGTCTCTGCGTGGTCATCATAGCATATGATCCAGTAATCCTTGGAAGGGAAAAAAGGGGCATGATAGACTTGTATTGGAAGTTAGGTCTTCCGAAGGCTCTTAGCTGCCATCAGTAAACAGAAATGGAATGTCAGTGTTAAGAAGCCCACATCTCTCAGAGACCACTGGTAATGATGTTATAGGCCAAATCTGAGTTCAGGTTTGACCAGTGCTGGGTTCGAGTTTTTCTGGCAAGGACCACAGGCTAAGACACAAGACAGCTGAACAAGCCAATTTTATTAAAGTACAAAAGTTCAGCTGAGCCTCCCATCCTAAAAGCAGAGGGAGGGACCCAGAACAAAGAGTGAGCCAGTGTTTTATAATGGTTACAGACAAAGAGCCATAAAAGTACTACATTGCTATTGGTCATCTGTGCCTGAACTTTTAGATCTCGGCCGTGATTGGACTTCAGGTGTTTCTCCAGTTGACCTATTATTGGTCATCTGTACCCCAACCTTGGATCCTGCTCCTCATTGGATCTGAGATGCTAACTTAGCCAATCTATTGATCAGAAGAAAATATCAATTTTATGCCCTGATGTTTCTTTGACCTGTGCCAAAGATGTTCCTGAAAGTCTGGGGACATTCCCCCTTATCCATTGATATGTTTATGTGTGTTCTTCCTGAGTCTCCGTGTGCCCTTCAAGGGAGGGTAATTCAAGAGTATGTCATCTCTGGCCTTCCTGCCCTCCAGTGCATTCCAATGTGGCCATCTGGCCACTTTACCACCACAGTGTCAGTTCCTGGTGTAGGATAGGGGTTTCTTTGTTTATTTAGATGCCCCATGGATGGGCCGTAAAATCCCATGAATGGCCAGCTCTGTAGGCCTGAATGGTCTTTGTTGTGTCCTCCCCCCTCTGAGGGGCAGAATCAGAATACCGTTTGGAGAATGTATAAAATGTATACAGCATTAAGGAAGTATAAGATACAATACAGCATAAGATTCTAAAATACAATTGAAATAAAGTCTATAAAATCTATAACTGGTACTGTACATCCAGTGCGTTCATGGTATAGATACAGTGGAGATACAATATTGTTACAGCTACATTGTGAACAAGATGTTAGTACATAAGAGAGATTCTCAGTTTTATTGATACAGTTGATAGTAATAACACTGTTAAAATACAGTATCATTATCTCCCCCTATCAATGAAATGGCTAAAAAATCTTGTAAATAAATAAATAAAACAAAATCAATATCTCTGAATACCAGATGCTGACAACAAACAGCAGGGAAAAGCCATTGCTTTCATTCTGTAAGAGGCAGTGTTGGGAAGAGAGCACAGGGCTAAATGGATTGTGTCTGATCCTGCAAGTTAATTTGTACCTTCTAAAGGGAGCGGGATGGCAAGATTAATTCCTGGGCTGGTATAAAGAGCTTTAGTTCACTTTATCACAATGACATATGCCTGAAAAGTGCTTTGTTGCTAGAAAATAAAATGACCTACTTGGGATTCAGTGCCCAAACAGATTTGCCATGAAGTTTCTCTTGTAAGTGGAGCAGCTGAGATTGCAAGAGCAGGAGGCCTTTCCTTTCCTCTGTTCATTTTGTGCAGGTGTCTGAATTCCATTTGCTGGGCATCCACAGCAAGAGAGGACTGTGGAAAGCTTGTGGCCTTTCCATCATTATCTTGTTGGCAAATTGTGCCTTTCAATCACTTCTGAGGTGCAGTTTTTCAGGGTGTTTGGAGTTCAGATGGCTGGGAGTTTGTAAGTACAGTGGTGCCTCACTTTACAATCACTCCATTTAACGATGAAATCGCATTACGATGAACTTTTTGCGATCGCTTTTGCGATCACTTTACGATGTTTCCTATGAGGGAATTTCGCTTTGCGATGATCGGTTCCTTGCTTCGGGAACTGATTCTTCGCAAGACAATGATTTTCGGACAGCTGATCGGCGGTTTCAAAATGGCCACCGGGTAAACAAAATGGCCCCCCGCTGTTTTCTGGGACAGATTCCTCGCTTCATAGGCAGCAAAAATGGCCACCCTATGGAGGATCTTCGCTGGACGGTGAGTTTCCAGCCCATCGGAACACATTAAACAGGTTTTAATGCATTTCTATGGGCTTTTTAATTTCACTCTATGACATTTTCGTTCTACAGCGTTTTCGCTGGAACGAATTAACGTTGTAATGCGAGGCACCACTGTATTCTAAATTGTGCCAGTATATGAGATCATAATATGTAAATCTACCAGCTTCATGGGTTGCCAGGATCATTCTGGACTTAGTTCCCACTGCTGGGTATCATTAAAAAAGTCTTAAATGTCCTGAGAGAAGAACATCTCAAGAATCACTTCACCTCCCTGGTCTGAGCCTTATGTTCTACATTTGAGGCTTTATGTTCTACTTCAGTGATTTGCACAGAGGCATCTGAAACTTCCCAAGAGAGGCATATTAGGTCGTATTGCAGCTCACTTTTTTGTGAGCATTAAGTAATATTCAGCAGTATCCTACTACCTAATGCCCGTGTCTAAGTCTATCAGTGTAAATCTCAGCAGCAGATTGCCACTAGTTAGCAAGTAAGTATATGCATTTTTGTCACACGCTAGTTGTGTAACTACACACAGGACAACAAATGCTTATGCTGACTTCTCAATTAACCTCAATTCAATGCTGAAATTTATACTGATGGATTTGTACCAGCTTAATTCTCCAGTTGGATTATGGCTTCTGTTTTATTCCAGTGGGGTTTTTGTCAACTACTGCTTTAAATATACTTATGACTGGTGCTGTTTTTTTCCTCTGGCCAAAGTAATATTGTGAAATACTGTGCAAATGATTGCTGCAGTTTTCCAATCATCTCTCATTTCTGCAGATGTGCAACCAATTGTGTGACCCAAGTGTGCAACAGGCAGCTGCACATTGCTTATACAATTGCTGGTTTATGCTACACAACCGCTACAAGTCTGTTTTTTGTTTTTCAGATTAATTGATATTTTATTGTTTCAAGTACTTTAGATTATTATCTAACTGATATTTTAAGAACTGCATAAATCATTGATTATTTTTATGGAAAGTAAATAATACATAAACACACGGACTGAAAACAACCTACTGCTGAAAGTATTACTTTTGTCAAAAATCAACAGTGATACTTTGAAGAAAATAATGCTCAGTAGTGCTCTGATCTCAAGGCAATTCCACATAATGTTCTTATTTAATTTCTGCCTTTGAGATTACAGTTTTAATTTGGTTAGGGATTGTAGCTCATTTTAGTTTTAACATAGCTCGCTAGATACAAAATGATAACCGACATCTTACAGCATTTATTTTAACTTTTCAGATCCGTTTGAACAGCAGAGGGCTTATTTATTCTGTGGGCCTGCTGTTGGCATCGGTTTTTTTCACCGTAAGTATCTGGGCCATTGTAGCCTGTTTTTCCACTTTACACAAATTAACATTATATTTATAACTTGCCTGTGAACTCATGGCAGTGTACATGCCTCTCCTCTACCTCAGTGTCCTCCATTTTGCCCATCTTCTTCCTTCCTACATTTCCTCCAATTGAGCTCAAGATGGCAGACATGACTCTCCCATGTCATCTTTATCACCACCTAGGCCAGGCTGAGAGATAAAGTGGCTGGCCCAGGTTCACCCAGTGACTGTCCTGTCTTGGGATTTTTACTGGATCCCCCAAATACTACTCAAACATAGCCTTTAAGATATTCAGAAATGGTGAAAATCAAACAGTGCTCCGATTGATGTTGACTTGTATTAAAACTGGACTGTGGAACAAAATGTGGGATAAGATAGATGACAGAGTGAGTGACAGGCAGGACTTATTGAAGATTTGCATCATTTAAAGAGTCTGGGCCAAAGAGGAGCTATAGGCAGAAGATGTGGTAAGGTATTAATAGGAGGGGATTATAAAATATTTCTAGGATGCGTCATCTAATTTCGCTCAGAAAGCCTAGTTAACATACCCTTAGAGGCAGAGCTCCCTTAAGAGGCAAAAAATATGGGGAAATGCTCTTTACACTGGCAGAATGTAATGATCTGCCATCAGTAGCTCTGTGTGATCTTCTCTTTGCTGTTGCACAAACATGAGATAACCCGATGGAATGAACACTAGTGTGGCAAGATAATAAGTACCTCTTTGCACAAGCTTGGAAACTGTACAACTGCACATGCAGTGCAGCATTGTGCAAATGGAAGGAATTATGAGTATTCTTGCCCTGCTTTTTTATTCTAATAGAAGCTTTTCTTAGTTGGCATTTGCCAAATTAGCCTCTTTTTTTGCTTTGCAATCAGTTAACTGGGAGAAAGCAAAGCTTTATCTGTATGTTTGACGACTTGGACATGGAGTGCTGAAAGATTTGCATGTTTGGAGGGATAGCATTGTAAGAGGAGGAAGCATGGATTTGCCTTCATTGTGATCTGGCCTAGATAGTTCCTTAGTTTTCAGTCATCTCTGTTTCTGGATGTCCACATGTAATCTTTATACTGTATGCACTTCTAGGAAATGCATTTTACATGCACTTTTTCCTCCCGTTCCTCTTTCTCTCTATCTCTCTTTCTCTCTCTGTAGGTGTTTGGTGTCCACTTGAACAAATGGAAACTAGATAAGAAGCTGGGGTGTGTGTGCCTTTCTCTCTATGGCATATTCTTGTGTTTCTCCATCATGACGGAGTTTAACGTCTTCACTTTTGTGAATTTGCCTATGTGCAGAGATCACTGATCATGGGAGCAGACTGCTGTGAGGCAGCGTCCTCCTTTACCTGTGCAATATGGAACATGGTTGGTGGCATCTTCAAGCAGCGTGGGGTGCCCAATGAAGGCCATGAAGTACACCTCCTCACTGGTCATCAGTTACTATTCCTGTCTGGGTTTATTCTCTTTTCTAAGCCACCCCTTCACACATACAAACATGCACCTGGAGACCTCCTGCATTGATGTGAAGTTTTACAAACTGAGACACTCTGAACAGAGGTTGGCATGGCAGTCTAAATCAACTTATTTCTACCTGGCACTGAGCCAGAGAAAATATTCTTCTTTTTTTAACTTATTTGATCAAAGACTAAACTAATTTATGAACTGAGACTATAGCTAGAATACAAAGAAGAGGGTATATTGCGTTGGGATGAAAAGAGAAGGAATCCATTTTACTCCTCTTTTTTCGGGACAGGCTGTCTTGCAGCTACTTACCTTTCTAGAACTCCACTTCAAGCAGCACTGTGGGAGCTGAGTTCCAGGTACTTATCAATAGGAGTGGACCTTGTACTTTTTCAGAGAGAATATGGCAGCAGTGCAAAGTGGCTTCTTTACAAGAAGTAATGTATCACTCAGTAATGTGTAACTGAATGCACACGATCGTGTTGAACACTGCTGCCACTTTATTCTTAACAACAGAATTTTATTGCTAATTTGTTCATTGTATTTCCAAGCAATAGTTTTAGGCCTACGAGCCCTAGAAGGTTAATGAGGTGGAGTCCTGTTTTTTTTTAACTATTAGTAATTTGAAATTGAAATGCAGTGTCAGAGACAAAGTCTGGACTGCATTGACCTCTTGTGGTTTCTTAATATTTATAGTTACCCCAGCACTTTTAAGATTGAAAAGTGCTTCCTGACCCTTATCTTCTTTGCCGCAGCAACCATCCTGTGAGGTAAGTCTCTAACATTCCCACACAGAATATATTTTAAATGGGGAGAGTGAAGCTGAGAGAAAATAATGTGCCAAAGGCCAGTGCATATATCCAGGACTGCGCAAAGGTTTGAACCAAAATAGTTTGGGGGGGGGGTGTTCCTAAGTCAAAACTCAGCTTACTAAACCCTCAGACAGGCTCTTCATGTACTGGAGATTGGGAAAGGGGGAGGGGTGTGTAAAGTAACCTTATTAATTGGGAAGGGAATATAAGCACATGGCACACAATTTTGAAAAAATAGGCATAGACACTGGTTTTCTGAAAGGCATATTTTGCACAGATATTATTGCTGCGGTTGTCATTTGCCACTCTGTAAAGAATACACTGGACCTGGGTAGATTTCCACCCCCTCTTACAAACTTGTCTGTCTTATCCAACTGGTAAGTTTTCCCATGGAAGTTCCAGTGGATTGTGTCCTCTTCCTGATACAAAATGGCTCAGAATTTGTCCTAAGTCCTCTTGGAGTTTGGAGACAGGTGAAATGGCACTTTCAGAATTATGGACTGGGTAGCTGTGGTGGTTATGAATGATTTGTCATTTGGTGCCCCTTTGGTTCTGCTGTATATGGTATCGTTTGTTTTTAACTTTTGCAAATGCATCACATTTCAGGAGAGAGAGCCATCACTTTCATAGTAATCCAAAATGTGCAATCCTGATTGTCATCATTACACAAGGCAGGGGTCTTTTGAGCCATACTTGGTATGTACATTTTGTTCATAATGAGGGACTTCTTGCTAGGCAAACCACAGAAGTGTATTTTGTTTGATGGTTGTTGTGGGTTTTTTGGGCTCTTTGGCCGTGTTCTGAAGGTTGTTCTTCCTAACGTTTCGCCAGTCTCTGTGGCCGGCATCTTCAGAGGACAGGAGTCTGTGCTCTGGTGTATTTTGTTTGTTACCTGTGAAGACCATTATCAGCAGAGAATCAGCAAGCCTCCCTCAAAACACACTTCTGAGCCCATCATTTTGCACTTTTCCATTTTATTATTTCAAAATGAATTTTCTTTAAATAGTGTGAAATAAAATTTTCTAATTCACAATTTCCCTTTATCACAGCATCTTGCTTTCTCTCATGATTTCTGCAGTACACACTCAGTTGTTGCTGGTGTTTTTCTTGTACCTTTGGTCAGCTAAATATATGGCTGGTTTGTGACCAGCTTGGTTGGGTAAATGTATTAATGCATGGATATAGTTTAGTAGAGGATAGAAAAGGCACCTTGCCATCAACCCTATCTATCTGTCTATCTGTCTGTCTATCTCCTTCTCTTTGGATTTAACCTTGAGCATTTGGGAACCTGTGAGAGTGGCCAAGCATTCTGAGACACATTTAGGACACACACTAGATTCATGCCATCAGGACTTTCAGGTCTACAATGCAAATCTCCCTTAAAAGAGACCCAGAACTCTTTTGTAAAGTACATGATCAACAGTGAAAATAACTGTTTATTTCATGGGCTTCATCCACCATTACTGATCTTCTCAAGGAGGACTATGCTCTTGAGAAACCCTGAAGTTTCCTAGAACATACTTTGAAATATATTGAATATGACATCATTCTTACATCTTCTCAGTAATGTTTTTAATTATATCAATTATGAGGGCCATTCAGTACACTTCCTTTAGTCATGTAATTTTAGCACCAATCAATACATTTTTTTTAAAAAAAAGCTGCTTGATTATTCCTTTCTTGATTGCACAATATACCATATTTGGAAAACCAATTCACATGAGGATCTGATAAATCAGAGTCTCTTTTAAGGATTTGTTGGGCAGCTCCAATGGAGCCGGTTGGATTTATTTCTGTGAAATAGCCTTTATCTACCCCGTGGTATAACAGCGTATTAATTGAACTAAAGGGACCTTTCATGTTGGAGGGTATTAAATATTAGGAGTTATGTAGCATTGAATATGCATTGCCAGCATGGCTTGTCTAAGTTATGAAAGCCGTCCATGAAACTGAGCTGGTTTGATTCGAGTTGGGCTGTGAGAATATGGGTTATCAATCTGAGACCGTGGATGGCCCTCTGTAGTAAGATCCAGAACATGTGTTCTACAGTCCAGCATCACTTAATGTCAATTGCTAGAGCTAGAGCTGAAGGATAGTAAAAAAGAAAAATTGGCTATAGATTGGGGAATAATGCAGAAGTATGGAATATTTTTATTTTGCAGGCTAATCCCAATATTTCTTACTGCCAGCTAATTACATTCTTCATAGATACATAACAGCATCCCTCTCTGTGGGTGAAGAAGATGTTTCGGCTTAAACACACTTAACCCCAGAGTGTTCATCAAGCTACACTCTAGCCTTAGCCCCTGGCCAGCAATGGGAAAAACAACTTTTCCCCATCTCCGCTGACAACAATGTGAGACACAGTTCACAGAAGTGTCTGTATCCTGATAATAAGATTGCTTCAAACTGCATCACTCATGTTGGGTTCACATCCTGGAAGCAGAGATCATACAGCTAGAATTATAGCAGACTAAATAGCTGGTGAAGTAGCCCAGCAACAAATGTTTAGCCTTCCAAGGATCCACTCAGCCTACATTCTGAATAGGTTGATATAGTTATCATAGGACACTGCTAGTACAGACAGATAATGGGAAGACCCAAATGCCACCACATCCTAACAATATTGAGACCAGTGAGGAAACACACATAAATATTTATAAGGTGGTAGCTGACAGTGATGCACAGTTATTGGGGTAACTTAATGTGTGCACAGCTTGGTAACGTGATAGTATGTTTTCTCCTGTCAAGTTCTGTACAGCTTTCATGTCACTTTCCCTGCTTCTTCATTTCAGGGGCTGTAGTTTAGGAAATGTTCTTATTTGGTAGAACAGGAGAGATTACCAACTTAATGAGTAGTACATGCTCACTGTGGTGAATTACCATTTGGTGCAAGATGGCCTGTATCATCCATTGTTTGGGACAGAATTTTGAGATTGGTACTCATTCATAAGTCTCATTGAAATCAATGGAATTTATATAGCACAGAAAAAAATGTATTTTCAATTTCATTAGCATTATTTATGGATCATTCTTCTGTTTGTCATAAGTTTTCTACAGCCTCTTTCTCTTTTTGCTTTTTCCTTTTCCTTAGAGTAAGCGTAGCATACTTGTTTTAATGTCAATTGCAAGTGTTTTCTTGGTGAGCAGGTTTCTTTTGTTTCCAAGCTAAAACTAATGAAGTAATCTTCCAAACCAAGTTGTGAGCTATTTGATGCAAAAATGGTTTCTCAAATTAACTTTGAAGTATTGGATGGCCTTGCTAACAGCACTAGACAGAAAAGCAGGCAAGTAGCCATCATCCCTGCAAACAGAAACATTTTCATAGTTTTGCTCTTAATTATCATTTGAAACTATTGAACAACCCAGCTTTTGAAATATATCTTGCAATGCTTTTCTGGGGGTGGGGAGATAAAATCCAACCTGGAACTATTATTTGTTTATATTGAACAACAGAGTCTGCTCTCATCCCCTTGAATGTAGTTAACAAGATTTCACAGAGTGATCAAAAGCCAGTGTTTGCTACTACCAAAGAGGATCTGCCTTTGCAGTGATAGGAGATTTTAAGAAATAGGTAATTACATATAGAATTTTAAACAAATGATTGTCTAAGGTTTGATTTGTTTAAGTTTTCTCGTGAATGTACACAGAGAGGGAGAATGAGATAAATAGATGATAGATGAAGGAGAGCTTATTTGATAAATGAAATAGAAGTGCCTAATTGGAGCATGTGTGTGTTTAGTCGTTTAGTCGTGTCCAACTCTTTGTGACCCCATGGACCAGAGCACGCCAGGCCCTCCTGTCTTCATTTGGAGTATATAAACTGCTAAGAAAGATTATTGAAGATTTTCTTCAATCACCCTCTATTTTAGGAACTAGCAAATGAGTATTCTGCTGTGATGCTACATTGACCCAAGCCATTGTTCTGGGAGAACGATGTGGAATGAACCTCCTCTTTCAGCCATAGTTACTGTTACCAAAGGTAACATGGCCCCGAATCAGAGCTGACAAAGACATAATCCACAGTCCTGCCTAGAAGTCATGCAAAATCAAATGGACTAGTTCCTTGGGCATTTTCTTGATGCTCAGAGAATTGAGACACACTGGGTACAAAGC